CAGGAGATGGAAACACCAGGAATTGAAAGGATTTCCAGGGAAAACTTTATATGTTTTCACTTGTATTTTTCATGATATAACTGCTCAATTTAGAAAACAACAACAAAAAAAGAAAAAAAGCAGGGGATTTAGCTAAGTGGTTCCACTTCCTGCTTTGCAAGTGAAATGTCCTGAGTTTGATCCCTGGTACAAAAAAAAAAGAAAGAAAATTTAGAAAATAGCATAACAAGCATTCTAGTCTGCTTCACTCTTACAATATTGAGTAGTAATAGTCTTAAAATGTAAATCTAAACTAAGCCATGAAATGCTTTTTTATCATGGCTCATTCAAAACATTAATTTGGCTTATACATTAATAATCTTGAATAATTGAAGTTTATAAAAATTTCCCACCTTAGCCGTAAATAAGCTCTTTTCTTTACTTTATTCTGAAGGAAAGGTTGTATAGACTGCCCAGTAATGAGTAAATGTGATTTGTTGTCCAACTTTTGCCATTAACTAAATTTTGTTTCTTTTTCAGAGTTTGTACAAATGATGACAGCAAAGTGAAGACATTGTACAGAATGTGTTAAATTTCTTGTACAAAATTGTTTATTTGCCTTTTCTTTGTTTGTAACTTAACTGTAAAAGGTTTCCCCTTTCTGTCCAAAAAATATGCATGTATAGTAATTAGGACTTCATTCCTCCATGTTTTCTTCCCTTATCTTACTGTCATTGTCCTGAAACCTTATTTTAGAAAATTGATCAAGTAACATGTTGCATGTGGCTTACTCTGGATATATCTAAACCCTTCTGCACATCTGAACTTAGATGGAGTTGGTCAAACGAGGGAACATCTGGGTTATGCCTTTTTTAAAGTAGTTTTCTTAGGAATTGTCAGCATGTTGTTGTTGAAGTGTGGAGTTGTAACTCTGCGTGGACTATGGACAGTCAACAATATGTACTTAAAAAGTTGCACTATTGCGAAACGGGTGTATTATCCAGGTACTCGTACACTATTTTTTTGTACTGCTGGTCTTGTACCAGAAACATTTTCTTTTATTGTTACTTGCTTTTTAAACTTTGTTTAGCCACTTAAAAAAAAAAAAATCTGCTTATGGCACAATTTGCCTCAAATCCATTCCAAGTTGTATATTTGTTTTCCAATAAAAAAATTACAATTTACCCAACTGTTGCTCTCTGAATCTGAGTCCTTTAACTGTTGAAAGTCAAATGTTTGAAGATAAAATATAGAATTGGTTTTTCCTTGAAATTATCCAAATGAATTTTTTACTGTTCAAGATTGTATTTAGCTTGTGGGGGGCGGTGCCCAGGGATCAAACTCCAGGACCTTGTGCTTGTAAGGCAGGCGGCGGCACCATTGAGCTGAATTCTTGGGCCCTGTATTTAGCTTTTGAATGTGGGTGAAACTGCCTTCAAAAGATTTAAATGAAAGACTTTAAAACCTGTGAGTCTACAGTTGCCAGTCTGTGTAAGGTAGGTGTTACATTATTTCCTTTGATTTCATCTTTCAACATGTATTTGTCTGTGTTCCTTTTTCTGGGGTATGGGGGATTGAACTTGGAATCTTGTGCATGTGAAGCAGGCAGCGGAACCACTGAGCCAAATCCCTGGCCCTTCTATTTGTCCATGTTGACTTCAGTCATGCAGTGAATTTGGTGTATTCAAAATATAATCCACATCTTTTGGGCAGGAAGATCACCATGGTTTTACCTCTTCATTTCTTAATTTTTCAGTCATTGTACTTTTTCATTAATACAAAGGAGACAGCAGAAATTTTCAGCGTTGTCTACCCTACAACATGTTATACAAAAAGTGCTTTGAGGGCCAGGGATTTCAGCTTGGTGGTTCCACCTCCTGCCTCACAAGAGCAAGGCTTCAATTTCGAGCCCTGGTATCACCCCAAAAAAAGTGCTTTGGATTAGATTGGCAGTGACTAAGCCCTGTTTCAGTTTTTGCTTGATTTCTGTCACTGCTTTCTCTTTAAGCTACTCAGAGGTGGTTAACAGGTTTTGTTTTGCTTTAAACCACCTTTTAAATAAATATTGAGTATAGTTCACTCTAGCCCTGTAAAATTTTGGATTTCCCAGGGGACGGTTTATTACTTGGGTTACTGCCCCATCACAGGGAAGTCACAGACATTGATAATCCTGTGAGCATGTTATCACATGTTAGCTGATCAGTAATATAGGAAGAGTTGGATTTTCCCTGTACTGTGGCCCTGTGGCCCCCTCCACTAGATGTTAGAAGAATTCTGGCCAGGACAAAAACAATGTGAAGTAAAGTCATTTGAGTAATTGCAGCAATATGTGATCCTGAAGGAAGTCTTCAGTTACCCTTCCAACACGAGACTTTTTTCAATAGGGTCCACTGAAATAATGTGGCCCAGACAGCAGTCCTTGGCATTTGTAGTTAAGTGCTCAGTGTTACCATGCTGTTAAATCAGTTGCAGCCCTTGTAAAATAAAGGGATTGGGTAGTCATTGGTATTTTTTTCAGTTAGAGGTTCATATAAATTAATACAATAGGAATGGCAAAAATGTAAAAGGGGAAGCACATACTTTGGATTCATGTATCTTAAACAGATGGTAATTATATTGGTGATGTTATCTTTACAGGCGTCACAAAGTAGGCATCTTGATTTTAGAGGAAATTGAAAATTCTGGAATAGTTGCAGTTTAACTGGTTTGAGCTGGGTTCTTAATCATTTCTTTTAACTTTGTGTACAACATAAATGTATCTGGAAGCTATGGGGTTTAAAATGATAACTTCTATTTAATCACTTTATACTGGCAGAGTTGTGGTACTTGTTAATTTATGTAATATAGTCTAGCCTGTTTGCTTTCAGGTACTTGTCAGTAAACTATCCCTAATTGAAGATTATCCTCAGTTATGTATTTTCTCTATAGAGTTTTTAGGAAAGGGGAACATTTTTAAATGGTAGCAGTTACTGTTAGGTTACCCTGAAAATGATCCCTGTACAAGACAGTCTTTTCTTCAGAGGACATTTTGTTTATCCTACATGTTCCACCTGTTTCATTGGTAAAGTCCTTGAAATCACTGACCCATACTGTTTCTATTTTTGAGACTTAGGAACTATTTTTTCATCAAGATGTTCTCTTCAATTTTCACACCTTGTATGGGTTTCTGGACTTCTCTGTACCTTTTGTATATTTTGTTAGTCTCTAAGGTCCCAGTCCCTAGCCTGCTGAGCCAGTTTCATAGGCTCAGCCAAAATAAGAAAATGAAATGAGACACAGGGATAGACTTGATCTGTTAAGTTTATGTTAAGCTTGTGTTTACTTCTCTCTTGGCTGCCTAGTTTCAATTTATTTTAAGCCTAGTGCCTGACCCCTTTTTAAAAAATGAGTTTAGGGCCGGGGATTTAGCTCAGTGGTGCTGCCTGCCTTGTAAGCCCAAGGACCCAAGTTCGATCCCTGGTACCAAAAATTGGGAGAAAAAATGAGTTTAGAACCCCATGTTTTGTTTGATTGGGTTGAACTCACGTCATTGCGCTTGCAAGGCAGGCACCAGAACCATTGAGCTAAATTCCTGGCCCTAGAATCCCCATATTTTAAGAGAAACCAGATGAAGTCCTCTAAAGTTTTAGTCCTCAAAGGTCACCCACAATGATGAGGGCTGGTTAGAAGTACAGAATCTGGGCTGGGAGTAGGTTCAGTGATACATGTATGATGTCTTGAGTTCAATCCCCAGCACAGCAAAAAGGAAAAGGACTGGAGGTCTTGGGCCCTGCCCTCGAATCCAAGCCAGTTTCCATTTTATCAAGATGACCAGATGTTTGTACACAATTTCTGAAAAGTACTGCTGTAATTATTTTCTAGTTTATAGGGGAGAACACCATTTATTCAAATATTTTAGTCCCTTCTGTGTTCGAAGGGCTCAGTTAAAAATCACGTTTTGGGAATGTTTAAAATTAGAATTAGCTCAGCTGGGATTCTGCTGCCTGTCTTACAAGCACAAGGTCTGCAGTTTGATCCCTGGTACCCCAAAAAATTAGAACCCAAATGTGGGTAGTGCATGTCTTGTAAACCCAGCACTTGGGAGACAGGCATGAACTATAGTGAGTTAAAGGCCAGCGTGAATTACATGAGACCTCTCAAAAATAACTATAGATACTGGGAGAAATGACTTGTCAGAATGAATCCTTCAAAAGAGATAGGTACAGGGTCTTTGGAACATGATGGACTACGCCCAGGACTACTCTGAGCTGACCCTTGGAATTTTACCAGGTGTCCAAAAATCTGCCAAAGGGCTAACTAAGCATATGTTGTGACAGAATTCTGAAGATGGCGTATTGGATTTATACAGCAGAGCATGAAGTTTTGGTGAGGGAGAGAATAGGGTAGAGCTTGAACTGAATTTTGAATCATAACCCCAGGTGGGTAGGGATCACTTTACCCCCTCTTAGACGAGAACACAGTACAGAACAAACAATAGAAAATGAAACCAGAATGTGCATCCATTATGGCTAAGTGGATGCACACTGACACGGAACTACCTAAGTTTCTTTGGTGTGAGAAACTGAAAGTGTAAATAAGGATCAAAGTGCATGATAAAAGGGAAAAGAAAAAATGTAAACGAGGTCTTTGTAAATAGGAGTGGAGGGGTTGAAGGGAGGGCAGAGGAATGGGAAAAAAACCATGATACATTATGTAAAGGTGTAAGTTCCCAATAATGTAATTCATATACCTAAAATGTACCGACAAAATTGTATCAAGGGCTGTTAGGCAGTGTTAATATTGAACACTTAATGAGAAAATTAATTTTGTAAAAATTTTACTTTTTATATCTGTCTTGCTCTAATTTATAGCCTATTAAAATGTAGCTTATGCTAATACGTTAAATTAATAGTTTAAAAATATGCAGCCAGAGTTCAAATCCTGGTATTCAAAGGAAAAGCACTTAAGAATGAAGGGGAGGGCCAGGGATTTATTTAGCTCAGTGGTGCTGCTGCCGGCCTCCCAAGTGCAAGGTCTTGAGGTCAGTCCTGGGGTACCAAAAAAAGGGGTGTAGTCACTACAGCAATGAAAAATAAATGAATTTTAGTAAGAGTGGAAAATACCTACTGGGTTTGGCGTGGGGTCACCCATTAGTGCAGCCTTAATAGGCATGTGTGTTTGTGTGTGTGAGGTTATGATTTAGAAAGCATGGGGACTGAAAGAATTGAGTCCACAGTTTTGAAAGCTTGAGAGCAAAAACCCGTCTAGATTTAAATTTGACTGTCATATCTGTGATGCTGAGTCTGCTCAGCTGTCAAAGGAATCCTCTCATTCATAAAATGGGACAAGACCTGCTTTCTAGGGTTGTGAGGTGAGGATCAAACAACATACATTACATGCAAAGAACACAGAAGGTACTCAAAAATCAGATTAAGGTGGAAGGACTGACTTTTTGAAGAGGAGAGGATTTCTAAGTTAAGCTACAATCGAGATGCCCAAAGCAAGAAGGGTCTATATAGAGAGGCAGGGTGGTTTGTGGCTTCACAGCTAGTGAAAGCTGCTGTCTATAGCGCTCACTCCTCAACTCAGAGGCGACCCGGATATTGGAGATGGCTAACACACACTTCCGCCTAAAAATGCTGTGAAGCACGGCCTGCAGTCGGTGCGGGACTGAGGGTGGGGTGATTTAGAATGGGGCGATGGAGAATGTGGGTCTGCTCAAACCCGGACCAAGACTCCCTTGACGGGTACTTACCCAAAGTCTCTTGGTGACTCTGGAACCCTCTAGATTTTCTTATATGTGTGCAAGGCTCTGGAGGGATTTCCCCGCCGCGTGCCCGCATCCCTACCCCCGGCCACTAGAAGAACCTGCGGATCCCTGCGCAGCCGCAGCAGCAGCAGCAGCAGCCCACGCTCTCTGCGCACTCTCTCGGGAGCCTGTGTCTCCTAGCAACCGGACGCCAGCTGCGCCAGGGAGTCCAGGCCATAATGGAACAGCCGGTCATCGCCATCCCCTCCGACACAGTATTAAAAGAAGACCTGAGGCGTGGAGATCCGCTAGTCACTGCCTCGGTAGCATGCACTAACGCCCGCCGCCATCTGCCCTTCTCCCAGGCCTTTGAGCCCTTCTCCTGTCTTCCTAAATTCTCTCCCTGCCCTCACATATGGGTGCACTGCTGTCTCATCTCCCTAACCACTTGATCTTTATTTCCCTTTCCTTTTCTGCCTTCCATTCCCCGTCATCCTTTTTGAGTATTTTCCTTCTTCCCGATATTAATTGCTCTAGATTTCTGTTTTACTAGGGCGATTATATCTTACTTTTTCCCCTCCTACTGAGAGAATGTTTTTTCCTTCCTTACTCTGTTACATATTTTGCCCTTCTTCCCAACTTTAGTACTTTTACATTTTTGAAATTGTCTTTAGTTTTTAAATAAATTTGGGTGAAAGATGTTTATGCTATTGTTTATTTTTCTCTTTTAAAGTGTATTTGAAATGTAGAATGGGAGGATTTTAGGTCACCTGCCTTGGGCTAAACCAAACAGCAGGCTGCCAGTTACCTTCCTTTGGATTTCTCATGCTTGCCTCTCTGTCTCCTTCCTACTTCATTTCCCTGTGCTTAGGTAGAGGTGGGAAGGCCTGTCTTGACCTGCCTAGGAAAGTCTGCTTTCTGTGACTATAAACTGTGCAACAGAAGATTCAATATAAACCTAATAAATACTATAGGAAGAAGTTAAAATAGTATATATGAAGCCATACGGTTTTAGAGAAATGTGTACATTTCATAGTAAAACTAAAATCCGGTACTTGTACACGTGAGTGGATTTCAGCTACAAGACAGGAAGAATGAATTATACCAGGATTTTTTAATGGGTTAAATTATTTTTAATGCATTCTTGCTTGAGGTGACCCATATTTCTTACTAATTACTAAAGCATTATAAATGAAATGAAAGTAGAACTCAATAGTTTAATGATTTTCCCTAGTAGAAATGTACAAGTGTGGGGGGAAAAAAACCCCTCTCAAAGATACACAAAAGCTCAATAGTGTTCTGTGGCCAGTGAGGCTTGAAACAAATGTGAAATAATGAATACTATGGAAGATAAGAGCTTTTGTGGGAATACCAAAATAATCTGCTTCTTAATTTGGCAGGTGAGGTGTTTCATATAAAAGCTGCTGTTTATTGTTGAGAACTGGTTGTGGGTGCAGGTCTGCATGTGCACTACCCTTTTCTCAGCCCAACTCTAGTAAGTGCTGGTCTTTTATACTCCTGCAATGAAGGCAGAGGCAAGAGACTGAGTAACTTGTCCAGGGCACTTAGCTACTAAGGGAAAGAGCTACGGGTGAAGCCCTGCTCTTTTTTTTTCTCTTAAGAACACATCTATTAGCCTTACATCTCTGGGAGATGGGAACATTTACTACTCTGAATTCATCAAAGATATTTAGATACTTAAAAGCACTTAAGATCTTAAAATATTGGGCAAATTTTATCATTGTGTAGTTTTTAATGATGCCTTATCAATTTAGTACAGAGATTAATGTCAAGTAAATATAAATTTAATTTTAAGGGATCTCCTCTCAAATGAATGCTGTGTTTTGTGTTTGTTAATAGAAACCAGTGTGGAAGACTTCATCTTTTCAAAGAGAAGTTTGGTGGAGAACAACATTAACAGTGGGTATATTTTCAGTCTTTCCTGTTCAAACTATTTTTGTTCCCCTTAAGATTTTAATCAGTCTTACTTTTTAAGTTGGTAACAATTATGAGAAAACTGCTGGTTCAGATCTACATAGACCCAATTTCATATTTAGAATTTTAGTATTAGTGTATGAATGAAAAATTAGCTTTAAATTTTGAGTGTCGGGCTGAGGAATTAGCTCAGTGGTTCTGCCACCTGCTTTGCAAGTACAAGGTCATGGGTTTGATCCCTGGTACCAAGTGTAATGAAAGCTAAGACTATAAAACATCTCTAGGAATTCAGGTACTTTACAGAATATTAAGTAAGGTCAACCTTTGATCCTATGATCTTGCACAAGAAAGAAAAAAGGATCCACTCTGGAAAGGTGATTTGGCTCCAAATTTTATTTATTGTGTATAGAGCAGTGATGGCAAACGTTTCAGAGACCAAGTGCTCAAACTGCAACTCAAATCCCACTCATTTATCGCAGAGTGCCAACACTTCCCCTATGTCTGTTGTTATCTGATGCTTGGCTGCTGGGAGACATTGGGTGCCTTGGCTCACGTGATGACAGAAGGCTCTGTGTTCCCACTGTAGCACGAATGCCATAGGTTCACCACCACTGATATAGAGCCTGTAATATTTGTTAACATGGTCGGTATATAAAATGCATAAAACAAGATGGTAATATTTGAAAAAGTGACCAGAATATCAGCTTTTCAAGAGATAGTCTCTGTATCACATATTTTCTATCGACACCTTTCAATAAGAGAGGGAGCCCATGGCTCAAAGCCTTCTTGGAATTGAACTAATTTTAATAGCAGAACTGAGCTGAATGGTCAGTGGAAAGGTGACTACAGCATAGCAGTGACTTACACAGCAGATCTGGCCTTTCAGCTTCATTGTGGTTGGGGTTTGAAAGTGCCAAACCTCTTCTTGCATTGTGTAGACCTTATGCTCTGCCTGTTCATCCTCAGGCTCACATTTTTATCTTTTTAGCTTTCCCCTAAGGGCTAGTTAAAACTGTGTTATCTGCTAAGCAGAAGTAGGATAGCTTTTACTTAGGCAAGAAACTATCCTAAGTAGTCTCCCTAGAGGCCTGCAATCTGTAGTCAAAGTTGAATTGCAAACAAAAATAATCCTGAAGTTGCCTTTCAAAGAGTTAAATTTCAATCATAACCCATTAGTAATAATGCAGCAATTGTTTCAGAAAGATGATCATGGATTCTTTTGAAATATTCTGTTGAGAGTGTTTGTTTGATAGAATTTCATTAAACATGAATGCAAAGAGAAATGCTGCATAGGAATGACCCAAGAGTAGATCTGATATTGATGTCAATTTTCCACAGAATACTCCTATACCTGGCACTTATCACTTGAAAACTTTTATTGAAGAATCCCTGTTAAATCCAGTTTCAGCAACCTACAATTTTAAAAATGAAGGAAGAAAAAAGCCACCTCTTGTGCAAAGAAATAATCCAGTCATAAATGATCTTCCACTCTACAAGCCTCCTGACTTCCTGGACCTGTTAAAGAAGCAAGTGGCCACATACTCATTCAAAGACCAGCCCCGACCAAGCCCCAGCACCCTAGTTTACAAAGATAAGGTAAGTAGTTGCCAGTAGGTGGGTTTTTGTAGAAAAGCTACTAAATGCTCCTGACAAAAAGACTCTTTATGCACAGAGTACATATACCCGCTACCACCACCACCTTTGGGAGAAATGAAAAACCTCCAGGAAGTCGTCATTCCTGTAGAAACCAAACAAGAGCTGCTTCATGTGCAAATGTATCCAATAAGATTTTTCCCTGTCAGGTCTTTTGTTTTTTGTTTTGTTTTTTGAAACAGGGGTCTTGTTGTATATTCCACACTGACCTTGAACTCACTACATAGCCCAGGCTGTCCTGGAACTTGTGACGATCCTCCTGCCTCAGCCTCGAGAGTGCTGGGATTACAGGCATGCACCACCACACTTGGCTGTGAGGTCATCTTAGTCTCAGGAGAAGTACTTGGGGAGAAATCCTTCCCTCTGGTGAAACTCTTAGCAAAATTCCCCTAATTTAAGGAGCCTCTGGGATCTTACCTGTAATTGGGCTGTGCTTGACCTCTTTAAACAGTTAGTTGATGTGAATTTCTCTTCTTTTAAGCAGAAAACACTGGCCTCCCGGTGAGTATCCTTGTTACACTGTGACTATAACTGTACACTGCAGAGAAGCTTTGAAATTTTTTTCTAGTCTGGAAAGAAAAAAGATATTTTTCTCAACTCAGTGGTAGAATGTGCCCAGCATAAGACCATGGGTTCAATTCTAGCCCCCCCCAAAATAAATGAAATCTTTTTTTTTTTCCTTGTAGAAATGAGCCTGTGGTTATAGAACTCTCAGCTCCAGCAATCCTCTTGTGGTCTTGATAATTTGGAACTCGCAGCCGTGCTCACAGTGTTGTGCTAGGCTTTGTGGAGGGAAGACGTTCCTGACCCAGAAATGTTTAACTATTATAGTGTAAGACAAAATCTATCAAGGGCTGAGATAAATACTGCAGCAGGAAATGCCAAGGGAGAGCTCAATGTGGGCTGGACTGAAAGGCTGGAAAGCTCCCTGGATTAAGTGGAACTTAACTGGTCCTTGGCTAATATAAGATTCTTAAAGTCTGTGGCTCTTGAAGTTTACTATGGTCTTCTATATGTATTGTCTTAGTTTCCTGATGGTTTATGTAAAAAAAAAAAAAA